ATGCTCCATTTTCCAGCCAGCTCTCTGAGCTCTTTTCGTCATGTCTTTATTTTTCCATTGGCCTTTAGGGCAGTCTGGAATGGGGTTCATAAGCAAAGTAATAAAGCAATAATTAATTAAAAGAATACATTTAAGCAACCCTTTTCAAGTTTGTTGATTGAGGGAAGCTAAGCTGCTGCTGCCTTGGGACGTCTCCGTCAAAAACACGAGATCAAAGATGTTCAAACAGCTCATAAGACTCTTTTGCAGCTGTGAATATAAGCTCACTCTGTCTCCGTCCCTGTCTGGTTGCGTGTCTGTCCTGCAGTTTTCCCGACAACCGCCGCGGCTATGTTGCTAAATGCTGGAAGTGCAGTGCTGTGTGCAAGCAACGCGGTCTCACTCCCAACGCAACCTAAACACTCTTGCATCATTATTAGATGGTCAGAAAGGCCGATACAGTGTAAAGAGTCGCCGACGAACCTTGCAGTTAGGCTTTGTTTAAAACCAGACCCTCCCCAAAGACTTTTCATCTGTCACCATTCATCTGAGCAAGGTTTGCGCTTGCAGTAACAGGGACCCTGCAGGTGTGTGTGTGTGTGTGTGTGTGTGTGTGTCCAGCGGTGATCCAGTTTCCAATCCCAGTGAATGGAGGCCAGCCAGTTAGCCCATGAGTCAGTTTTTTCTCCTGAGAAGGGAGACTCCCTGACATGACAGCAGCAGACACACCCGACACGCGGACACACACACACACACCCAGCGTGAAAGCACCTTTAAACCCACACAGCTGATCTGCTGCATGTGCCACAAAACGCCCATAATCTGCTCTCGGCATAATTTTGTGATGGATTCTGTAACCGTTATTTCTCCCCTGGTGTAAAAAACGTTGCGCTGAGGTCACTGACTTTCACTCGAATTCCGATTGATGCTGACAGGAACTATGTTGAACTCAATGACTGATATGAGTTTGGCTCTGGTTTACATTTGTCTATTTGCAGTAGTGTGAGAAGATGTTTTACTTAAGTTAAGCAACACATGGATTTAAATACAACCGTTGCCAGTCATTCATTTAAAAAATAAAGTAAAACCATTATAATCAAAATGCACTTAATACATCGAATCTAAAAGTAATGTATTTTGCATTATTAAATTATTAATTCTCATGAAGCAATGTTTAAATACTAGTTTTTACTCTATCTTGAGGTTTATACTATGAAGTCAGGTAGTCCAATTTAGTTATGAGAGTTATGAGATATTTAATGGCAAATATTTTATTAATACTTTGTATTTTTTCTTTTCTTTCTCTTTCTTTCAATTTGAGGGAAATATTGGACAATTTATCTGTTTGGGGGTCAGAGTGATTTGAATAAAACCATGTGAGACATTCACAGACAATCGACAACGCAAAGTCATCTGAGGAATGAATGGAACCAAACTACAGAAGAGGAGTCGCATATTAATCATTTGGTCAAAGTTAAAAACCCTGATTGTATGTAATGTGTATGTCAGCTTTAATTGGTAAACTAATTAAAAATGACAAATAGTTCACTAAATAGTATCACTAATGTAAATTAGTAAAGTAAGTAAAGCGCCTCAAAATCGTACATAAGTACTGATTACTGATTACCACTGATAATCTCTCCATGTTTGTTACACAAGCGCTTGCTGGTTTAAACTATTAACCATTACAATAACCTATTTTGGCAGAATGAAATTCAAAAGTGTTTCATTTAAGATTCTGTTTTTTTTCAGGGGACAATCCCTCAGTATGAACATTTGCCAAATAGCACAATCAAGATAGCGCCCAGAGGAAGCAGAGACAAGATCATTTGGCATTCTTTAGGGAGCATTCCAAGAGTTTACAAAAGCTATTTTCCCTGTGGAGGAACAAACTTTGGAAAAGGGGCCTGTGTTTTTGCTTATAGGAGACATTTAAGTCACCAGAATCCTTTTAACTCAACGTTAAAAACCTTTAACTGTTATAATGTGCAATGAAGACTCAGCCCATCTTTCCTCAGCATAATATGTCAGATCAGTCTTCTTCGGGATTTTGTTTTAACAATAAATCCGCTCGTGAATGAAGTCTTTTTAACGCTGACGTGAGCCGCTGACGGGTTAAAGCATCACTGTAAATGCAACTCACAGCTCTCAGTGGTGAAATCACTGCATGAGGTATGTGCCATGAGACATGTTGCTTTGCCATAAACCTGCCTATTAAAACTTACAAACTGTTTGCTATTTCTGTTTTCTTTTCAGTATACGTCGCTGTCTTATTTTGGTGGTGTTGGTTCTTTCTTTGGTTTTTCTTACTTAAAATCCCTTTTGAACAGCTGCTGAAATACTATAAGATCTGTTCCGCCACAGATAAATTATGTTTATCTTTATATTACTTGTCTTGGGTGGGCATACTTTTAATAGCCTGTGTACTTAATATGAGCGTGCACATGTGGCTCATGTTGCATCTTGTCCCTTGTCACCATCTGTGTTCCCATTATGTCATGTCTATGAAATCTGTATGACAACAGCTGACTGAGGCTCTGGTTACAACATAGAAGTTGAGATACAAATAATTGCGACAGCATACATCCTCCCTCCCAGCTTCGTTTCTTTTTTTTTGTGCTCATTACTTTGCTGGTTGATCTTTAGCATTATGCAACAAAGGAAAATAATCACCCTGTCTTGATGATGGCAAGGGGAAATGAGTCATATCTATAAAGGCAAACCCATATGTGAATGTGTTATTAGGTAGACGGCGACTAACTTACACCAGGGAAATAACAGATATACTGTAGGTCTCCATAGAGTGAAATATGCTAGAACCATCCGCCCTTGTAACATTGCATTAGTTAGATCTGGTGTATTAGAGCTGATGTAATGTAAAAAAATAAACCCTTCAGAAAGCATAGGGTGAAGTTGTTATGTGCAAAGCGGTTCCTCCCAAGGAATAATTTTTCAATTATTTCCAGTTGTATAATGGTCATTACTGTGAAATGAAAGAATTTACGTATCTATATGTCATTCATATTTTCATTAAAGAATTCTTTTTTTTTTTTTTTTTCAAATTCATTGGAAGAGCACGTTCATGTGGGCGAACCTAATGAGGCGTCAAAGCAGAATGTCTTTTTCCCCACAAAGTGTATTGTTGTACCGGAACAACATTAAAGATGTGAACAAAAAGAATCCGTCTGAGGCCTCTCAGTGGGTGGTGGAATAGTTCACTGTATAAATGGCGTCACTCAACTCGAATAATACAATAGTTGCATTTCTTATAATAACTCAGTACATTTTGAAATAAGTCTTCCACCTGCCGCATGTGGTTCAATGTAAAGTATAATCCACTCACTTTCCTACAAGAAAAGGCCTCCAGTAAAACAGTTTTATCCCATTAAAATAAAAGGCCTTGCATCATCTGTTTTCGATTGAAACAAATAGAAAAATCAGTATACAGTAAACCAGATGACTATTGTCTGTCCTTTGACTCTGATATGAAAGGTGAAGGCTGGGGGGGCCGTGACATGTGTCTCGTTGATGTGCCAGAGTCAGCTGGCATGACTAAACTGTGATGACACCATTGATTGTGAATATTTTTTTTAAGTGAGCAGATGTTGGAGCAATGAATGTTTGTTTCCAGGTGAAGGGACAGTGATGTATGAATACATTAAGCGTGTGGCTGGAGTCCTTTCATGTATTACTGTTGACTGGGCTGATGCGCTGTTGATGGATTGTAGATCATTGGTGGAAATGAAAAGATTTCATCATTTAATTATCAGTAATTATATTTAATTTACTTAATGACAAACCCGATTTGTGTTGCACAGAAATCCCCATTTATTTCTTCCAGCAGTGTTTGCTGGTTATTGCTCCATTGTTGCATCAAATACAATCCAGAAATCTCTGTCAGTCTAAAATCTCTTCAAGTCAAGAGAAGGGAAAGTGAAATAGATGGCAAATAAAAAGCCCACGTGATGCATTTTATTAGTTATATGCTTCTAAGTTTGAGTAAGAAAATCATGTATTTTCTCACCACTTTGCCACAGTGGAAACGGTCCAACGCTACAAAAGGTAATTCAAAACATTTAAAGCCTGAACAGCGAACAACTGGCCCCATTGACCACAAAACAGAACTCAAATGTTCCTGCAGACATTTTCCCAGACCAAAATAACCGCCTACATTAATGGGTGATCCACTGCAATTATTTTAATTAACACTGCCTTTGATCTGTGAGCCACTTCGCATCAATAAACTCTGCATTTTCTTGGTTGTTTCTTTGTTTTTAATGTTTCAGTAACTCAATAACTCTCCGAGGTTTCGACTGATTACACCAGCAGGTTCAGATTAATGGTAATCATTTGTGGAGTACTTGATTGCCTCAACAGCCGATAATAGTCTTGAGCTGCGTCATGTGTGCTCCTACCATTGGTATGAAAGAAAATATTACAAAGTCTACACCAATGGACGTCAAGTTCAACATCAGTGGATATCTGTCAATCTGAATCATCTCAAAAGGCTGTTAAAGGCCAACGCGAAAAGGACTTGTTACCGAACGAGCTGTCGGCAGTGACGTCCCACTGTGCACACTGAAAGCCACACGTGAGAGACTTTTTTTCACTTTTGCCAGCTGTGGCAAACAACTGCTTGTATGTGTCAAATAGTGTCAATCAACAACATGCAGCTACACAGACCGTGTTAGTATTCAGAGGAAACAGAATGCACACCACGAACAGAAGTTGGCAGGTGTGGGTTAGGGTGGTGCTTGGAGTCGCAGGCTGCTGTGGGTTTTATGGCATTTCCCAGGGAGAGCGCTATGATGTCATCAACATGTGTCTCATCTATAGCTAAGACCCCGTTTCCTGATTGGACAGCTGAGCTGGGATAAGGAGTTTCTGCTCTCATAATAAACTCAGGGAATAGTTTCCTTCCTCAGACTACGTGTTTTCTTTTCTCACTCACTCACACAACCGCACACACTATTTAGTCACACCACATTTCCAAACCAAACTGTTGACACAACACTTTCAGGTATTTGATCCAAGTTTTTTATTTTAAAATGTGAAGCTGTTCAAAATACAGCACAGGGGTATTGTAACTAATGAGACGTTAAAAACAGTTAATAACATTAAAAAAAAGATTGGTGTTTAACAACAGAATATTTGCATGACAAATAATTTAATGACGACATGAAAAATTGGAAAAGAAAAGAAGAAACATGCTAACTATGCGCTGCTGTCTATGTGCACATGCTTATGGCCAGCCTTACACATATATTTATACAATCTTTAATATCTAAATAATCACAACGATCCTTCTTCAAAGAACCGACTGTGAAAATAAATCCGTTGTAATCCTATTATGCCACACAAATGCTCTGAGAATGTCAGATACACTTGATTCTTGAAGAAAAATATTTTTCAGTTAGAAACACACAAATAACTCACGCGAAGAAGTATGTTCAAAAAGGCCCTACAATTGTTTTAATATTTAATACAGTAAATATTAGGCTGCAACTTTTAATCCAATCTGTATTTTGGTGGAGGAAGACATTTTAAAACAACACAATGATAACACAGCGTTAAATGACCTGTAGACATTTGTGAAGGTGCAAACAACCTCCTGTGTGTTCAGTCTGTCTGAAACCGTTCTAGTGGATGACTGTGTTAATGAATTAAAGCAATTAAAGTTAATGAGTAAAGCATGTTGGTCTTTCAGCATCACCAAAACGTTTTTTTTCTTTGCTTCGGCAATACCTGCGTTTAGATAAACAAAGCACAACATAAAAACGTACCTCCAGCGACATGAAACGACCAATCTAAAACGTTATTTGTTTGTGCAGACACACATGCAGACTGCAGAGGATCTTCCATTTCTTGATATAAAACTATACAATTTTGAAAACAAAGCCATACATTAAAAACACATACATGAGACGTATACCAGTTTATAAGTAGCATCTTTTCTGAGATTTAACAGCGACTCCTTCACGGAGCCTTGCAGTTTGTGGGGGCATGTGGGACGGACACAGTGTAAACAGCATAAGAGTTCATCACCAGTACGGAAGACTGGTTGTGTCTCTGTCTTCTTTGCTGCATTGTGTGTGCGTGTGTTTGTTATATAACATGCAGATAGGTTGCCTGGGTGTCCACACCTAGTACATTTTTGGCAGTGCATCTGTAAAATCCTGTATCCCTTCTTGTTGGGTTGTTTATCACCATGGAACCTTGAGGACTGAGATAGCGGTTGCCATGGATACGAGCCTGACCCGTCACCCTCAGTTGAGTCAGCTCTGGTGTTTCCCAAGTGATCGTTGCCCGCGGTGTTGCGATCGTCTGGCACCGCAGCTCCACAGCGACTCCGGGCCGCGTGTAGGTCACGGGGGAGGGGCCTGCTGTGATGCGTGGCGGGTAGGCGATGACGATGACGGGAACCGTGGTGACTGAAACTGAGGAGGCGTCGACGCTGGTGGATCTGCAGGTGTACGTGCCGCGGTCGAACACGGAGGCCTGTTGCACCGTTAGTGTTCCGTCTTCTTGGACCAAGTATTTGTCGCCACTCTGCCCCAGAGACAGCACCTTGCCAGTTGGCGTGATCCATGAGAAGGTGCCCGCGTGGCCTCCAAGACTGTTAGAAGCATAGCAGGGCAGGCGAAGTGTCTCTCCGTTAACGATGCTCACCAAGGGAGCTGTTCTGGTGCTCAATGCCGGCTTTGAGACGGGGCTGGTTGTGCGGGGTGGAGGTCCAACTGGAGGCGGGAAATCGGGTCTAGATTGGGCTCTAAGTGGAGGCTCTCGAGTAACTGAAATTCTTGAATGGAGCGTTGAGTTTAAAGATTGAGCTGAAAGCAACGAGGCTCCTGAGCGAGGCACGTCTACTAAACGACTCTCCTGCACAGGTCTCTCCACGGCCGCTCCCCCGTGCGGAGATGTGGCCTCGTCCTGTGGGTCAGAGACCTCCAGCTCCACCTGTATACGTATCTGTTCTCTCTCACCACTAACCACACATGCAAAGGTCCCTCCATCACTCGCCCGCACTCCTCGCAGCTCCAAGGAGCCGTTTCTGTGCACAATGAGGCGGTTGCCGTAGTGAGGAGCTGGCAACACACGGTTACCAGGCAGAAGCCAGGCCAGGCGAGGGGGAGGGGAGCCTTGGGAGGGGCACGGTAGAAGAACAATTTGGCCTTTCACCGCTCGCTGCTTCGCTGACGTTAGCACACCCAAAACTACATTAGTAGAGTTTTTACTGGGAGTACTACTGCTGCTACTCCTACTCAAAGCATTTCCTCTGAGTGCGCCACTGCCAACTCCATTATTAGACACACTTGTAGCAAAAACTCTGACATTTCGAGAAGTACCACTTATCCTGCCATTGTTTCCACTCGTGTCATCACCAGCCTTTTCTGAATATACTTCATTATTATAAGTCGCAGGATTCCTTTCTAAACTATCTCCCCTAACTGTGCTGCGACTGTTACCCACAATACTTCTATTATTCATGATGCTGGATCCATTTTGATTCATTCTGAGGTAAATTGGTTTGTTTTCTATATTCCCAGCCACGCCAAGGCCTGTTGTGATTCCACCGACTGCCCCGTTCACTCCAGCTCGCCAATCACTCGTAAGCGCCGGATTGAAGCCGCTGGTCGCTGAACTAGTGCCAGGGTTTGGAACAATGTTTCTCATTCTGCTATTGTGATCACTGTTGCTGCCGTTACTGCCGCTAAGCTTGCTTGTGTCCCTGTTTGCATTATTAAGGCTGTCCCCTGATCTACTGTGAGGACCACTGCCGGGCCCGTTGTCGTGGCTCCAACCTGTTCCTCCGACCCGACCACTCACTCCATGGTCAGGAGCCTCCATCTCCAAACCCACCACCATACTCTTCTCTCCGGCTGAGCTGCTCGCTCGACATGTGTAGTTTCCCTTGTCGATCTTTTGAGCCAGACGAACCTCCAGAGTTCCGTCTGAAGTGGCCACAACCCGCTCAGTGTAAAAACCAGGTTCCAAACTTCGTGGGATGACACGGCCCGTTGGGGAAAACCAGGTCACTGTCGGGGCAGGAACTCCTGTGGCCTGGCAGCGAATTGTGGCGGTTGCCCCGAGACGTACTTTGATGACGTGGTAGTTTCCGTCATCACTGAAGTTCGGTGGGGATCTAATCATGACCTTGACTTTGACCTTAAGAGATTGAATTTTTATATATATATATATATATATATATATATATATATATATATATATATTTATATGAAAGAACTCATTACTGAACACATTTCTACTTGTATGTATGTGTATTAGGATTATTTAATCATAGACTAACAGGTACATTTTGTACTTGGATGTATGAATAAAAATCTTTATTAATAATATTAATATTTTTCAGCAGGTTTTTTCTTACCTTCATGGTGTCTTGACCTCCTTGATTCTCAGCATAACACGTGTAGTCCCCCTCCTCTCCCATACCGACTGTTGGAACCAGTAACGTCCCATTGTCAAACACAGTTAACATCTGTGCTTGCCCGCCTCTGTCTTCCCTCTGCAACACGCTGTTCACCATGGTTCCATCTGGTAGACTCCATTGGACCGCTGGGTCAGGCAGTCCTGATGCCTGGCAGTCCACCTGTAGGGAATGGGATAATTACTGCAGTCAATATCTTCTCCTCTTAAGGCAAAGTGATGCATATTGTACTATATTTCCAGGCTGTTTTAATGCTATTTAGGCCCTTCAAAAGAAGAAAATGCCCAGCAGCATTGTAAGGCAACACAAATGTGCATGTATACAAAAAGAGCATTTGAAGCTCATAATGTTGAAATTGAATAAAAAATAAGGTATAATGTGGTATGTATTGTGAATTTGGCAAATTTCCCACCATATTCATGTGTGAAGTAGTATCCCCTCAAGGCCACTGATTCATTGGGCTACAACCTGACAGGTTACATATTATTTTTGAGTCAAAATAATATGTAGCATTTTTTTATTCAAAAACAACAGAAGACTGCTTGAAGCTGTAGAAATGTTTGGCACCAAGCCCAGCAATAGAAGTCACCCAACACACATCAATGTCTACATAGAAAATAAGGATCCAAAAGTTCAATTTGCTATTCATATTCATATTTTTAATCCTCCAAAAGAGGGGCGTAATATATGACAGCTGTTAATAACAACGTTTTTCATTATTAAATAATGAAATACATTTCTACATTGTCTTTATTTAACTTACCTTCAGCGGCTGGCCCAAAGACACCATCTGAGTGGGAGGCTGTTTAGGCTCGATCTTGGCAGGCTTGGTAGCCACAGAGACACGCAGGAGGCGATAATCATCCGAGACCTTGTTCCGCGCGATACAGAGGTAGTCTCCAGCGTCCTTCTCTGTTACTCGCTGCACTGACAAGGTGCCATTAGTGTGCACTTTCAGACGTCGGTCGAAACTGAAATTCCAATTTGGACAAACACGATATTATTGAAAAATAAACACAGTTCAAGTGATCTCTTTTTTGAACGCACAAAGCAAGACCTCCCTCCCCCCCACATACCTGAAGTGCATGTCCACCAGTTTTCTGTTGGGGGTCCTCCAAATGATAATGGGTGACGGGTTGCCAGTTACAGAGCAGTGAAGCTGTAAAAGAAAACCGTAGTGGACTGTGGTAATGGACGGTGAGGTTGAGACAATATGGGCCTTACTGAAGGGGGAGACAGGAGAGGGATGCAAAGCAGCTCGGATTTTGTCAGAGGAGGAAGAGGAAATACGTCTTGGCACTTTTGTTGTATTCGTAGGCACTCCGGAGGGTGTGGAGAGAGAGGATGGTTGATTTTGGTTGCTTTTGTTCAAGTGTGTGGGGGAGCCAGTGACTGTTTTATTCATTTTAGGAGATGAGTTTGTGGAATTGGGTCGGTGAGGGTTAGAAGATGAGCGAGATGAACCGGGGGTGAGCAGCATGGCGCTGTGTCTTGCAAGGGGAGATGCAGGGGAGAGTCTAGTGGAGATGACTGGATTTGATGGGTTGCTGGGTAAAGGTCTGGACAAAGGTCTTTCTTTATGGAGTGAAGTTATAGGAGATTGGTTTTCAGCAGCAACTGCTTTCACTCCTTCACCTTTTGCTCCTGTGTTTCTCTTTTCTCCTTCTGCTATCCCTTGAATTTTTACCCTCACTGTTCTCTTGTCGGCCCCAACGGCATTACTTGCTATGCACTCGTAATTCCCTGATTCCTTTGGCCCAACACCTCGAATATGCAGTGTCCCGTTGGGCAACACAAAAAGGTTCCCATGGAGGAACTGGGATGGGCGAACTAGAGTCCCATCTGGGATTCGCCAACGGAGGGTTGGTGGTGGGGCACCTCGGGCAGAGCAGTGAGCATAAACAGGCCACCCTGGATTCAAGAGCAGGTGTTCCTCTCTGGGTTGCTGTATCACCGGGGGCAACGAGGACACATGCACACGAGCAGAGGCACTGACGGCGCCTGCCGAGTTTGAGGCCTCGCAGCGATAGACACCTCTGTCGCTCGGTAACGTTCCTGCGATGTGCAGGGTTCCATTTTTGTCCACAGTGATGCGGCCGGTGGGGGGAGCAGTGGAGGTCAAGACAGAACGATCTGGAAGAACCCAAGAGAGCAGGGGGCCGGGAACGCCATCTGCCCGGCACTCCAATTGCACCTCCCCGCCCTGATGAATGGTAGCTTCTCTGTAGCTGGCCAGCTGCATCCGAGGGCGCCGGGTCCATACTTCCAGGGTGGTTAGCAATCTATAATGGAAGCATAAGAAACTCAATACATAAACAAATGCACACAGATTAAATGAAAACATTTAGAGAACTCCCATGGGTGCGCATACACAATTCGGATAAGAATCCTAGAAACATGACAGTGAAAAACATAATAGTCAAGCTAAACACACACGTGAAATATACAAACAATGAAAATATACAGCAATTAGCCTTTATTTATGAAAGGACTGCATTCATTCAGAATAAATCCAATGTACTCAATATTTAAGTTCAGTTAACCTCAGGTCTATTTAATTAGTGCTGAAAACATTTCTTTCCCATGTGATTATAACTAAATGGTAAGTGTTGCATTAATATTCTGGGATCAGTAGCCTCACCTGTCGCGACCAATAACGCTGTGCGCACTGCAAATATATGTTCCCCTGTCCTGCAGCTGAACATTCTGGATAACAAGGGTGCCATTTGGCAAGACCTCAAAACGCTGGGCGCTGGAGTGGATTGGTATCGCTGCTCCTGAGAGAGAAAGACAGACAGAAAGAGACAGCAGGGGATAGAAGCAGTGAGGTGACATATTGGGAAAACAGAGACAAATTGAGAAAGAAAGTCCCAGAATGAGTAAGACGAAGAAGAGAGGAGGATCAGGTACATGCTGAGTGGCACGACATGTAGTAAACCCATTGATGCAGTGCACAAAATGTTCCATTACTTTCTTGCAAAAGGGTTTTTCCCACATAGCAAGCAAGAGAAAAGCCTATTGTGTGCAAGCCAGGGCGTAATGCCGGGTGTTAATGGGATATTCCATGTGTAAAGGCTAGATTTTCCTTTCTATGACCTCAGGATGTAAACACAAATCTTTACTTATCCTGTTTTTTAAAGCTACAGTCTATTTTTCACAGAATAAATTAATCGTATATTCAATTCATGTCGGCCTGAAGCTTGAAGCTTCCGAGAGCAGTTGTACTGAGTGGAGTAGAAAACGAACTGATTTTTTACATCAGTCAATTTAAAATGAGGGACAGACAACAAATCACACAGCTTTCGGGCAACCGAAGTCTATGGAAGCCAGAATCCTTGGAGAACAGCACAGGGAGAACATGCACAACTCTACACAGAAAGGGGCAGAAGCTACTCGCTGTGAGGCAGCAGCGCTAACCAACACACGCATTGCATTGGACGACGCTGCACTATGTGTACCTGCGGCAATCCTGGTCCATGTGATGGAGGGCTTCGGTTCTCCTTGAGCGTCACAAGCCATTCTGGCAGTGCTCTCTGCTGGGAACGACACCGTCCTGTTGTGTGGGTCTGCAATCCTCGGTCCGGATCTCACTGCTGAGGCCTATAAAAACGATTTGGTAAAGAGATTAGTGTCATCGAAAATCATCAAAAGGTGTTCAGCTAATTTGAACAGCAACAAAAACTAAATTTAACAGTTTAAAATAAAATCAATATAATTACCACAATGTATTCAACAGATCATTGTGCCGAAAACAATTGAAGTATTGAAAATGTTGAATCCTTTGGGAATCGAGTCTCTGAACACTATAATGCTGATTATGTGGCAGGGATACTCTATTAAACTGAAGAATTGTCCTAAACATCCCTTTGCTTCAATAGCAGGTCATGTGGATAAAGATTAGACCATTTTCAGATCAATTTTACATTTCTGTTTTACCCGTCTAACCACACAGAAAATATCTTTATATGAGGTGCAGCGCAAACTACATTTACGAGGGTCTTTAAAGCAAGGGCAGAAACATTACAGACATTAGATTTAAGTAAAAAAGCTCTTACAATCAACATGATTGAACTACCAATAAAGTGTTGTTTGAATTAACTTGAACTCACTCCAGGGGCGGCAGGGAGAGGAAGTGAGGGGAGCCAGTGAGGCCTGCTGCTGTGCGAATCAGGAATAAAATTGGTCGCAGAGTTCTTCCACTCAACAGCGGGTTGACTTTGGTTTGGACCCCCAGAAACAGGCCTCCTTCCGGTACCAACGTCCACGTCACTTGATGCTGTGCTGCTGGTGGATTTCATCATTGTAGGAGTAGGTGATGTACTAGATTTAGCTGCATTTGCAGTAGTTGTGGTTGAGATGACCAATCTAGAACTACTAGTAGAAGGAGTAGTTTTAGTTGTAGGGGTAGTCGGGATACGAGTTGTGGGAACAGCTTTGATTGAGATTATAGTACTCAAAGAGGTAGTAGTGGTGGTAGTAGTGGTGGAAAAATCAGTAGTAGAAGGCCTAGTTGATGAAGTAGTCGTTTTAGTAGATGTCATAAAAGGAGTTGTGGTAGTAGTAGTAGTAGTAGAGGAAGTAGTAACTGTAGTACTTCTGGTCGTGCCAGGTGTTGGGATAATAATGGCAGTTGTAGTAGGCATGGTGGTACTATTCAGAGTACTCCTAGCTGTAGTGGGAAATGTGTGACCAGTAGCTGTAGTAGTAGATGTACTGCTTTTATCAGAACTAGCGGGATGAGCACTCTCAAGAGTAACAGAAGGGGTTGTTTGGATTTTTCCATTAATTGTCGCACTGTGGGCCGTAGAGGAAATGACGGGGGAGGAAGTGGGCGGGGGAGAATGGGAAGAGAGGGATTCATATGGTCCACCCGACAAATTCATCCACGGCTCTTCGTTGTGTTTGCTCGGGGGTCCATCAGCACGTTTGTCTAAGGCCGTGCTTGTTTTTGTGTGTCTCCCGGAGCCAAGTGTATTTGTCCATGTGTGTGTGTGAGGCTCACGCGTCTGTGTGATCGCAGTATGCGAGTGAGTGGGTTCTGTCGTCTGCGCGTTAGAGAGAGTTGGCCTTGCGGTGTCTGGGGTTTTGGCTGAGTGATTCACCGTGTCTATATGTATATTTGTGTGAGGGGGGGATAATGAGGTTACAGCAGAGGAAGATGGAGTCAATGAGGGGGAGGCAGATTTGGAAAGGGAGATACCATGAGTGAGGGAAACAGGGGGAGACGGAGGACGTGTTGGAGAAAGAGCCAGAGGTGTGGTTGGTGAGGCCGGCAACTGCATATTCACTTGATCTGTGGCAGGTGCCGCAGTTTGCGACCGTGGGTTTGTAGAATCAGGGAGAGGTCGTGCTGGGGTCAAAAGACGCCCTCTGGGCCTGTTTAGGATGCGTCTTTGCTGTCCGATTCTCCTGCGAGAATTCCAGCGGCTTTGAGGTCGAGGGTTTTGTTGCAAATTAGGGGAGAGTTCCTGTTGGGGGCGTTGAGGCCTGTTTGTACCTGGCTCACCACCTTCACCTGGTCCTGGGGCGAATTCATTTGTTCGTGAAACGGGTTTAGATGTGATGGGTTCTTTCTGTGTCGCTGGGTTTGTCATTGTCACCGTCTGTGGAGGTGGTTTCTCTGTCTTTGTCTCTGGTTTTGTTTCTGTTGACCCCTCTTTCCCTTTATTTATCTCCGTATCTGTTTCCTCGTCTGCATTTACCTCTGTGTGTGTTCGCATTTCTATTTGAGTCAGCTGAATGTGCTGTAATCTTTCCTCTTGTAGATCGGTGTCATCAATAGATGACCCTTCATTTTCTGATTCCACCCCTGCTCCTTCAGCTTTATGTCCTTCTGCATCACGATGTCCCTCGTGTCTTTCTCCGTTTCCACCTTCGCCTCGTCCTTGTGGTTCAGCTGTGGGAATTCCAGCTTCGATGGGCTGGCTATTATTAGTTTGAACAGTCTTTTGTCGTATTTTAGCCAGGAGGTCAGCCCATTTGTGAGGGTCGATTCTTTGTTTGTTCGTGGTAACTCTGTGTCTGTTATCAAAGCGGTTTCTTCTCTGGCCATTGGATGTTGAAGGCACTCCACCTCTTCTCAAGGGGTCTCCTCTCATCGGTCCAGGTCTTCTGGGCTTTCCAATGGGATGACGTCTTTGTGGGGTAGGTTGGAGAGGTCTTGGACGCTTGCTATTGCCAATAACAGGTATCTCTTCTTCTTCCTTTTCGTTCCCCGATCCTTCCTCCACTAACAAAGGAGCCCGTATCTTGGTTGACCTGCCAGCGGCTGACTGGGGCCCTGTGGGAAAGGAAGCCCTAAGTCGAGGGAGATGTCGTGAGTTTAACTGCAGCTTCATGGACAGAGAGTCACTGCCGCAATGGTTGACAGCAATGCAGCGGAAATTACCAACGTCCCTCTGAGACGGGCTGGTCAGAGACAAACTCCCATCTGATTGTATAGTGAGCCCACCTGATACAGCTAATCCCTGCCTTACTATGTTTCCATCCGGTAACACCCAACTCATGAGAGGTGCTGGCGAGCCAGATGCCTTGCAAGACAGGGTGATAGGCTCCCCAACATTTCCAGTGACAGGAGGTCCCACTTGCTCATTTAGAGGCGGTACAGAGGACTCCTCCACTGCCAGGCGCAGGTGGAGAACATCTACATCGCTGCCTGCCCTGGCTATGCAGTGGTAAATCCCTGACTCTGAGAGCTGTACGTCTTGTAGAATTAATCCATAGTTTGAAGTCGGCAGCCTACCATTTTGGCCCCTGGAGGGGGAGATCATGGATCCATCCGGGAGAACCCACTGTACTTTCGGGTTACCAGAGCTTAACAGAGGGCATGACAGTTCCACTTCACTCCCCGCTACTGCTGCCAGGGCCGTAATGGTATGATTAGTTGAAATAAGCACCCATGGGGGAGTGGGAGGGGACGACGTTGAAGGATGAGAAGCAAAGTCCGAACGAGAAGGAGGGTCTGGACGGGCAGCGACTCTTGTTGAGTATATAAGCTGCACTCGGTGTCCGTTAGACCGCGCTCTATTCAGCTGAATGCTGACGGCTGGCTGTAGCAGCCACTGTGGTCTGACTTGAACAGAAGCTTTTACTCCAGTGTAATAATATCCACCTGTCTCTGCTGCCTGCCCGTAGCGGTAGGCCAAAGCCGGGGCTTTACTCAGCATGATCTCCCTCTCCAGGCGAACCGCGGTCTCGCTGTAGTAAGCGAGAATCCTCCAAAGAGTTTCGTAGCTCTGCTTCTCCACGAGGCACTCCAGGGTGAGTGACAGGGCAAGCGGGATAGGAGAAGAGGAGGAAAGAGACAGATCTGGAGTGGGGGAAATATCCTGGAACTCAGGAGAGTGAGTGATGTTGCAGCCAAGATCGACACTGTTCCCCTGTTGGTCGGACAGACCCAGGGAGGCGGAGCCTAGAGGCTGTCTGAGGGATTCACTTGATTGGATTTCACCGAGTTCTGCCTCCAAAGGTGTGTCTCTTCCCGGGGAGGTGATAACGGGCGAGGTGCACAATAGGTCAGTCTGGTCAAGCAAGCCGTGGCCTTGGAGGGAATTGGGCGAGGCACAGATTGGACACTGCGGGCTGCCAGGACATTTCATGGGGCCTAATTGAAAGAGAAGCAGAAAAGATAATCTCATGATCCTTTTTCCTCTCTGGCACATTAGCTATGTATAACAGCATTGCAACTATACAAACACATTAGTGCTCATTTAAGCTATCGGCCCATATTAGCAGTGACATATATTAGTCATGCCAGTTCATATTAAACTTGATATCTTTTGGAAATTCAGAATGGTTTCGTAGTCAACTGTGAGAAAAGTGTGTCACTTCATTATTACATAGCAAACATTAACCTACATTAAATTTATCTGCACACATCAATGCTGTCATCATATATTAGTCATGGCAAGTTAAGTATTGCATTTCATTGAGACGCATTTCATGGTTCAGCCCTCTTCTACATCTCAACGACAGTCACAAAACACACTGAAAGAGAAAAAAAGTGTGTTAAGAAAAGCAGATGGAAATGTCAGAGGTATAAAAATAACAAAAACAGATGTGTTATACATTACCTTTATCTCCTACTATCATCTGGCTGGATGTGACATGATATATTACAGTATTGAGAATGCTTATTGAGTGGAATTATCAACAAATGCGTCCATCGTTTCATAATGTTCATTCTTAACTCATCTATTTCTTCTCCTTTGGTCACTCAAATAACCTACACGTTGTATTACCCACCCAACTTTTTTGACTGAGTTAATATGACTCAGTGTTAAAATGAATAATCACCATAAAGTGTGGGCAGATGGGAGAACAACAAGCCAAAACAAATCATATTTCAGATACGACAGTCACCTGGATGAGTCTGACTCCAAGTGAGAAACCACCTCATTTTACAGTCACAACTCCATGGATTATCCTGCAGCATAAGAGTATCCAACAGAGGTGCAGTCGCTAAGGTCTCTCTGGGCAGAGTGGTTAAGCTGTTGTTGGACAGGTCCAGGTGTCTTTGGGAAACAAAGCAAAGAACAGATTGAGGTGACAAGGGGGAGGCGCGACAGTCATTATAATCAGTCATTGAGGAATGGATGAGAGAATGGAAATGGGCAAAGAGAGGTGACAGGTCAGGGGTCAAAGTTGTATCAATTTTTTATCATTTCCATTTCCCCTTCATGTTCAGACTACGTTATTCCTCTGCAGTAGTTATTCAAGTGGATCAAAAAGATAAAGCGACAGCGTTTGCAGCTTTAAGAGACGCATTCATCCAAATACCAATAACCAGCAATAGAAATGTTACATTTTTCATCAGTCTATTTGTGTTCCTTCAGGGTTACTTAAAAACACTACAACCGGGATTATTAAATGGTGTGCGTTAAGTGTTGAAGCTCACCTGAGGGTAGAGAAGTAATATGTATTCAGTAGGGACAGTGTGCACAGAGCGTGAGGGTGCAGCTGATGCAGCCTGTTCCCCTGCAGACGCAGCAGCCTGAGGCTAGTCAGCTGGAGCAGCGCCCGGGGGTGGATGTGCTGGAGGAGGTTGTGATCCAAGTACAGACGGAGCAGTGAGGTCAGGCCAGAGAAGGTCAGAGATGAAGCGATCTCTCTCAGCTTGTTATAACTCAGCTTTAGTATCTGTGGGGGAGGGGAAGGAAATGAAGTGAGCGGAAGCAGTGAAGGATTAGTGGAGTAATCAAATAGTCGTCATCAAAGCTGATGGAGAAAGTTTTTTGCGAGCGTGTCACCGGTTCATTTTGTTTATTGCAAATGATGTGAAGGTAATTGCAATGCGCAAAAATGGCTGAATGCAATCTGTATAAATACAAAACTTATGGCAAGATCTATGAAGAAGTCACGTCCATGTAAAAACTGAGACAACAGCCCAGAGCACATAACCAGGAGAACATGAATGCTGTGAGATTATTGATTCTAAATTGATGTTCGAGCACCGGGTGTTTACTTTCCAAATGTGGAATTTAACACTTGATCCTCAGCAGAATACTCGCGGGATACCCATTGCTATTCTATTCACGTGTGGAGAACTCTCCAAGTTAAAGAAGGCAGACCACGAAAAACCATGTTGTGAAATTGTGATTCTGTGAGGCTTATGATGAATCTGCTCGGCGAGGAGGCGACTTAGGCGGACTAGTCGAGTTCCAGCTGCTAACAAATCTGAAACGTGAGGATGTCAGCATAAGGAAATATGGACTCTATGGATTCTATTATCACACAATGTGTGCAAATATACCAGCATCTGCGTACTGGATGAAGGGAAGAATTGCTGGTTGAGTTATACCACTTCCCCACAGACAAACTGTCCTTGGTTTCCTCTCACTGAGCCCCCATAAATTATGAATTAGTTTTACAAGCATGAGAAAAATGTGCTTATTAAAGAAAATCATACCAACTGTTGTAATTATTTGCATACTGTTTTCCTAGATAGAAAATGTCAAATGAATCCTTTCATTATTCCAAAACAGAAGATTTAGGCATATTATCAATGTCTTAATTGCATCTTTTGACAAATACGATACATCTTGATAATTCCTGCATTACTAATGGTGCTAAAAACTTGAACCTATTCCGTCAAACAGTATAATTAAGCTCATCTCTCTTACTTCAGTAGCTATGTAGACAGTTAACTATAAGTACCACGCAAATGGAAAGTTTAGGGCTAAGCTCATTTGACCTGGGACAATAAATAAAGTACATTCTGTTGGAAACAGTAAATTGAATTCTGTGCACTGCAAAAACCTTTGCCATCTCCAGTCAGAGGTGAAACGTGTGAGGAGACGCGTTTGTGTTGCTCTCTCTGTTTACCTGTAATGATTTCATATCTCTGAATGCTGCATTCGGGAGATGGTGGAGGTCATTGCTGTGGAGCATCAGAAGCTCCGCCTTCTTCAGCCCAGCCAGAGAACTGTTATGGATCCTGCTGATGCTGTTGAACCTACGGGGCACGAAATCATCAACCCGAGCGAGTCAACAAATACGATCATTTCCATCTGAGCACATGAATTAACTACAGGTCGGCACCTCGATCCACCCTCTGACTGTGTTTGCGGGGGATATAAAATCATTTTATGCTAATCACGTACATCGTTTGTGTATTTAATGCATTCCCTTACCCTAGGTTTATGCGGCGTGTGTGTACAGGTAAGCCCGAAGGTATGGCGAGTAGGGAGCGAAACGTACAGTGGACTTCGTTGGCCTGGTAGCAGTTGCAGGTCCTGGGACAGGCCTGTCCCATCGGCACCGCAAAGGTCAGCGCCAGGAGGGTCAGCGGCACAAACGCGCTCCGGTACATCTTCCCTCTGCGAGGAGAGGAGCAGCAACGCTGGGATTATCTCTGCCGAAGAGAGAGAGAGAGAGGAAAAAAGATCAAGACTGATGGAGGGCAGCAAAGTGTACCACAGTGACATCTCAAAATCCAGATGCTCCCTCCTTCTCTCGCACCCCCTCACACACACAGACACACACACACACACACACACACACACACACACACACACAAATCAAGCCTTATTCAAGCAGCACAAAAACAAGGGGATTTGCGGTCTGCAGCTTAAAACATTTGACACTTTCTATCTTTAGAGGCACAGTGGAGCCAAACAATTAACCTACCATGTGCCCGGTAACTTAATTGTGAATATTTTCCCATAAAAAGGAGGAGGTTTTTATAAGAGTAAAGGAAAGCCATCAAATGGCACTGCATATAAACTATTCATCTTTCTCTCTCTCTTTCTGTTTTATCTTATCCAACACAAGCGGGCAAATGCACTTAAGCTAATATAACTCATCAAATCTATTGCAATAGCTTTCAGAGGGTTTTTCAATTTTAAATTTAAATCAAACTACGTTAGCGAGAAGCATCCTGGATTATTAGATTATTGTAATGCATAGCCGTGGTTAACAGAGCATACCTTTAACTCCTTTGAAGTTACTTCCCAGAATCATACAGTTTGAGAGGATGTTTCAATTTTAAACTTAAATCAAACTACATTAATGCATTCCAACAATTAGCAAGAATCATTGTAGATAATTAGATTACTTTAATGCATAGCCATGGTTGAGAGAGCATACCTTTAACTCCTTTGAAGTTACTTCCCAGAATGATACATGTTGCCCATCAAACACTGGTTTTAATCCATCTGCCGGTTTAGGAAATTTGATGAACGAGTTAATTCGCCAATAAACTCCGAGATTGTTGAACCGGGAAAAGTCCCCCCCCCCCCCCAAAAAAAAGTTGTCACATGAGATGCCACTGAGGAGAAACCGAGGAATGACCAAAGTAACAGTTTACTCAACTACTCACAACAACAAAAAAATCCACAAAGCAACACGCAACAGGTCCCATAAAGGACGCGGCAGACTGCGATCAACGCCAACGCGTCTGTGCGCGGCGTGTGCGCGCGTCCGTGTGAGTGACAGCGGATGCGTGTGAGTGTGTATTCGAGCTTTAGGAAAAAGAGGGTCTGGACTGAAGTGAACTTTGAATGACGTGACGGCACAGGGGCTTGTCCGAGGAGGGGCTTTGCGGAACCACAAACACGTCATTGCGCTCCTCGCTTCTTGCTGCGCTGCGTTTATGCGCTAAAGAAGCGGAGATCTCTCACTAACTGATTGTGCGTGCGCATTTCATGACGTCTCTGCTCACTTTTATCTGTTTTCACATTGAATTAGGGAAAATGGTTATGGCTTGTGGCTAAATTTACCTCACCATCAATACACTCTTTTATTACACGTGGTGACGTTACAAAAACAGCCGAGACAAATACCAATACATTAATTCAGTATACGTTTGTTTTATATATATATATATATATATATATTCTCCATCCATCCATTGTCAAACCGCTTATCCTGCACACAGGGTCGCGGGGGGGGGGCTGGAGTCCATCCCAGCCAACTTCGGGCGATAGACAGGGTACATCCTGGATTGGTCGCCAGCCAATCGCAGGGCCACACAGAGACATACAACCATTCACACTCACATCCACACATCTGTCCCCAATTAACCTGATCCCCAGAGCATGTCTTTGGACTGTGGGAGGAAGCCGGAGAACCCGGAGAGAACCCACGCAGACACGTGGAGAACATGCAGACTCCACACAGAAAGGCCACTGGGCGGAATCGAACCCAGGACCTTCTTGCTGTGAGGCAACAGTGCTAACCACCACGCCACCGTGTCACCCCTATATATATATATTCTATAAAGTCTGTATCCATTGAACTCCATTTAGTTTGAGGGACAGTGGGACAAGGAAGCCCAGACTGAACAAATAAGTCTTCAGTGGCTTCCTCGATGTTCTGTAGCTCCAATCTGTGCTCCTGAGACACAGATATTCTCTTTTTCATATTATCTCCGACCCTCAGCCACGTCACAATGACCACACCTCCTTATGAAGGACTTAAAATAAGAGACAACACAATTAGCTTGAAGCTCCTCATCTGCCTCTGTCTCCCACCCACCATCCGCTCTTAGTCTGCCCTTGTATGCGTGTGTGTGTGTGTGTGTGTGTGTGTTTATTAGCAGCCTCCCACCACATGGTTTGTTTGGACAGAAGTTCGTAACATCCACATTAAGTTTCATATACAGTTTGAGTCTGTTGACATGGGGGCAGCAGTGCGAGAGAGGAGCAGCAGATGTCAGGATGGGGTCAGCACGGAACCAGCACATCAGCTGCTTGAATAAGGAATTGTAAAATTAATCCTGACTGTTGATGCCCCCGGCTGCCTACAATCCAATCACCACCACCACCCTATGAACCAGGGCGTGACAGCCCTAATGCTGAAGTTGTGATATGGCTGCGAAAAGCATTAGGCCCAATCCCAACTCACTTAGAATGGTCATCACTGTATTGGAATGTATCGGCCCAGAAATAAATGAATCGGCGTCCGTCTGACTAGAAGTGAAGAAAGAAATCGAGACATATTGTAATATCAATGGCACTTTGTGGGAGGATTCAGGGAAGGGAAAAAGAAAACGACGAGAAAAACCCGACTGCACGACGTTGAATTATCTTGTGGAAAGAGACAGGAATGAATTAATCAATGATTAAAATGCTGAAATGCCTCACGCTGCAGTTACATTCTCGCTCTCTGTGCCTCCCAGCCGGCCTTTCACACTGATCCTTTAAAAAGTACATTGGTCATCACAGCTTTCTATCTTTTTGTCTCTGGGGTTCGATGCTATCTGGGTCAACCAATGGAGTGCTGAGTCATAAATTCAGGAAGTAAACAACTCCCTGCCGCGATGAGACCAGCTTGCTATACATAATTTGAAATCATGTGCGTAATGTATTCTTTTTGATCTAGCTTTCATCTGTGAAGATCTCTAAAGTTCTCGCAAAAAAAAAAGAATCATTGCATTCTATTAAGCGATGTTCATCTCCCAGCTCTGATATTCACATTATTAAACTTGTCTGCAAAATGTGTTTTTTTCTTTGGGGTTTTGTTCATTTCATCGATTTACAGAACATTTTGAATCTGTACTTAACTTTGTCGCAAAAGCTCGGAGCAGAGGGAGAAGAGAGACATTGTAAAGTACAGAGGTGCTTTTATAAAGGTACATGATTGATGGCACATTATGGAAAAAAAATAAAAATAAAATAGGAGACGGAAAGAAAACATATTTATCCTGGTTTACTCATTACCAAAACTGAAAACAGCAATAGAGGGGTCAAAAAGGACACGCAGCCAAAAGCCATCCATTGAAAAAAGAATAATACCTTTGTTCATGACCTCGTGGCTCCAAGCAGGATGATGCTGTGGGCTCATGAATTGCAGGTTAGAGGCAAGAACAGTTTGTCTTTTGCCGACAGTGACCCGACAGACAGAGCACTCTCACTGAAATCAGTATTCTGGTCAGTTGCCCGTAAAGGCAAGATGGCTACATCAAATGAGAAGCTTTAGTTTGATGAATGACACACGAAGGTAATTCAATTCAACGAGCTGAGTAGAAGAAATATTATGAATACATACACAAAGATCATTTTACCGGTGGTACCGTTTCTTTCTCAAATAATGAGAAAAAAAGATCAGGTATGTTAAGTTAGCAGATATTTATACAAAATGTAAAACTTTATTCATGGTTTTCTTCATGTGATTTTGGTTGGATGGTAGAAATGTTTGGTAGAAAATTCCATTGGCTATTTGTCGAGAGAACCCGCGCAGTGCAGGGAACCATTATGCTGTTTAGATATTGAGAAAGCTTTTTTTCTTTACGCACTGTAAATTACCAGGGAATCATTACATTCGATTTAACCTAATGTTAAGTAAATTGCATCGGCAAACTCTAGCCAACTTTGTCACATCCTTTTTAAGATTCATGGTAATCATGACAGCTAACGCTCCTTGGGTGTGACTTTTTGGAAGAATGAGTGCTCTCCCGGAGCCTGAGGGTCACACTGGGGCAGCAGCTCCAGGACCTTGTGTTCTATTATTGATTTGAGGCTCCGGCACCCCATGAGGTCAAGGCTGGCCCAGTGAGAGCCTGGAGCTTAGCGGTCTACGGCAGGGATCCACTAGTCTGAGGGGTTTTTCTTTTAATTGAGATGGCTAGCAGCGGGGAAGGTGTTGTGGTCATCGCCTGACTATAGCAATTGAGTTAACGGAACTTCCCTTCTGCTGTTTTATGGTAAAAAGTTTTTTTTTGTAATTTGCATTGTAGAGCATTCAGTTTTCATTCTGATAGATGGATACAGTGCTGCGGCCACAAGGAGATACATCTGTGCTCACTGGTCATGGTTGGGTCACATGGAGGAATCTTCTGTGGAGAAATGTGTACAATACGTGATGATCCATGTCTTTCATAAAGGGTGCGCGCCTTACGATGATCTATTTCAATAGTGATAATCACACAAAAATACATAAACTAGACAGGACTAAATGACTTGAGATGAATATTTTACTTTGTAGTACTGACTATTTTAGAAGCTGAATGTGAAGTTGTCATTTAAAAACACAACAACAGGTCATTTTATTTCTGGATCAAAACAAATCAGATACACGTCAAGTATCCGTATAAACTAGTTGACCGTTCCACAGCTGTAAGCGGCAGGGTGGCTTTGCATGTTACCAAAAGATTAGTGCAAAGCTACATCCTAAAAAAGCATTTGAAGCAGGAGAGGGATTCCTCAGGAGATGCACGGCTATAGTCAACAAATCTCCCTTGTGCTTTCCAGAATGACACACAGAGCTTGTTTGAGTAAATCTCACACATGGACAGCAGAGAAAGCACCCTGAGCTTTTGACCCTGCGGGCAGAGTAGAAGACGCAGGAGAAAAACTGAACAGTTTAAAGAAAATGGAGGCGAAAAGGTTAAGAGGGGTCCATCAGTGAACAGGAGGTCTATTATATGCAGATGTAGCCATTGTATTCATTCATTCATTGCAATCACCAGAAGGCAACAGCAAATTGCTGCTGAAAAACCGCTCCATCCTCTGGAAGAAGTATTAAAAACATTTAAATTGTTTGAGAGTAAAAGAAGTTTTTATTAAAATTGTCCTATTCAGTTCCACATTTGAGGGAAGTGTAAATAAAAAGGGTAAACAGCTTGATTTCCCATGGGACCACCCATACTGTTGTGTTGCGTGTAAACAACGAATGCCCTTCTAATGTTATACATTCAAGTCTTTATGGTTGTGGCCACGTTCTCATGCCCTTGGAGCTCTGTGCAGGGTCCGAATTGAGAGAATGGGGGGGGGAGTTTGTCATGGGTAGAAATATGGATACGGCACGGGAGCTGGTCCAGGATCGGTAAGAGTAAAGGTAGGAGAGGGCTGAGGAAGACGGGGGTTGACAAAGCATGGAAGGAGTTAAATAGCGACTGCGGTCGGGAGAGCTGGGGGCTGCTGTTTGGTGATCCTGCAGGCATGACGTCTGGTGGCCGGCGGCCCTTTACATATGCGCCGCTGTGACAGGGGCCTTAAATCAGCATGAGGCACCACTCAATGGAACACGCCAATAAAAAAAGCTCAGGTGAGACATTCCTTTTCTCCTTGTCCCACCACACCTCGTTTTTGACCTTTTCCCCGGTTTTCTGTTTCAAATTTCTGCATCGATACTGTCCAGTTCTGCTTATTTGCAGGGTTACACATGATTTCATCATACTCAGTGACACTCACAAACAACATCAATGATTGAATGCTCTGCTAACTTGCTCCAAACACACCCATTAATTACTCGTGAAGGATGATTTTGATTTCACGCTGTACTTTCATGTTATGCAGAGAGGGCAGTTTTAAACAAAACCAATCCACATTGGATTTATGAGCACCCGTGTGTGTCTTTCTAATTATACGCCGAGGTTACCTAATCTCAGACAGATTCAATCAATTGAATCAATTCCATTCACATGGAGGTGTGAATAAGACGTCGCGCTAACTAGCTCTGACACTTGAGGCTTTTGAGAGTTTTGCTCTGCTTCCTTGGGTCCCTCTGGTCTTGTTTCCCAAAGTACACACAGCCACAAAATGGAAATGTGAGATTTTTACAAACCCATTCAGCAACAAAGTTGACGTTCAAGACATGTAAAGAAAACAACTACAAAGAGTTATCTTTTGACTGAAATTGGCAGTGGCATGTCATAATTAAGCTTAATTGGGTTGAAATAAAACAGATTTGAGGTGACTTGTTTTTTTCGCTGTCCAAAACGGCATTATTTTTGGGCAAATGCAAAACGCCTTTTTTTAACTGAAAAGAGAGA